TTTTATGTCTCTACCCTATGTCAGTCACAGTGCTAACCTGTATGAACATGGTGCTAAGCTAGACACGCGTGGTCTCTGAGCTCTTGGAGTTCCCAGTCTGGTGGAGAAGGTGCATCAAGAAAATACACTAATTAATGGACAATTATTAAACTGTGTAATGAATATAATTACAAATATATAATGAGATATACAAGAATATACTGGGAAGACAGAGAGGGGCCAGCTTAGACTGGGGGTTAGTCATAGTAGGGAAAGTGCTCTATTCAGTAAGACTTACATCTAAGTAAAAGGTAGCAAAGTGAAGTCTGGAGGGAGGTTTCTCCAGGCAGAAGGAGGAGCCTGTGTGAAAACACTGGGGACACAAGAGCTTGAAATACTCCAGGAACAGAAAAGAGGTACATCTGGCTAGAACTGAGAGGTAGCAGTGAGAATCTTGTCACGGGGGCTGGAGAAGGAAGTAGGGACTGAGATAGTAGATGTCTGACTTCACTTATAAAATTAATGAGCTAGCCACTTTCACACACGTGATCTCATTTAATTCCCATAGTGTTCCTCAGAAATGAGGACTACCTCATTTTACAAATGAAGAAATGAGGTCTAGGAGTGACCTGACCCAGTGGGTATATAGCAGAGATGATATCTAAACCAAAGCCCCTCCACCCCTGCTTTTCCAACTACACTAGGCTGTCTCAGTCACATGGTATGAACAAAAGGAATTTTTTTAAAAATTAAAAGGTAGGGGGAGAAGGAAAGGAAAAAAAGTTACAAAACTATCTAGAAAGGCAAATGTGAAATATGAAAGATGAAGCAGAAGGGAAGTTTTTGCTGGGGGGACTGGAAGATGTTAGAAAGAATAAAAAGGAATTTCAGATCAGTGGAGTCAGAGATAGGGGGATAAGCGGACCCTAGAGGAGAATAAGTTATATCAATCATGAAATGTAACTAATTAAATCAATAATGAACTGTGACAGTGAGGAGGAGATGAGTAGGGGGAGAAGACTGGTACCACTGTCCACAAGACAGGGCATCAGCGTGTGAGCAGGGAAGTCCTACCATACTGGGGGTAGGTGGGAAGGGTTGGTGCAGGGAGGTGGCCTGGTGTGACAGGGACAGCGAAGGGTTAGGAGTCAGGCAGACCTGTGTTCCATTGCTTGGTAGCTGCATGATCAAAGTCAGGTTTCTTAGCTTCCCGAGCCTCAAATTTCACATCTATCAAATGGGCATAACAAGCCTCCCTCCAGATGTTGCTGGGATTAGACATCAAAATCATTTATTGAGCACCTACTATGTTATCATTTATTGAGCACCTACTATGTTAAGCACTCTGCATAATGGTTTCTGAAACCTCACTACCACCAGAAGACAGGGACTGTCATCATCTTTCACTGATATACTGCTTAAAGTTTTAAAGTTACAGAGCATGTATTCAGAAACATGAGTTCTTTTGCTGTGGTCATTCCCAATTTGACACTGCCTACTAGATAGAGTGGGTCCTCTTCAAAATGAACAGCAAATTCCTTGCCTGCCTTTTCAGTCTTGTCTTCAATTTCTTCTTCTCCCCCTCGATGAACTTCCTCCATTTCCCTTCATAAGCTTTGCCCTCTCTGCCCTCCATTTGTTTCCACTTTCTGTTCTCAGTCAGGTATCTTAATTGCAAGCAACAGATAACAATTCTGATAATTTAAGCAGAAACAGAATTCAGTAGAGTGATGCTAGGTTACCCAGAATTTCCAGGAGGGCCCGGGATCTGGGCTGAGAGTCTGTGAATTCAAGAGCACCACTGCAAATCACATCACAGAACTGGCAGTTGGAGACATTGTTGCAGCTGTGGCCAGGCACCAATAGAGCAATTCACCCTTTTGACACCAATGACACTGGGCTCTGAGCAGAGCTGTTAGAACCATTTCTACTAGCAATGAAATCCTCATGTAACTTCCCCACCTGTTGCCACTTTGGTCTCCAAGTGGATTCTGCCTAATTCCAGCTTCCTTCCCAGCATCTGAGGTGGATGAATCTGACTGGTTAATTCTTAGTCATGTGTTCAAGTCCTAGTTGCAGTGGAGGCTGGAAGTATCTGGAAATTGTAGCCTCTTCCTGGGAGGTGGGCTGTGGCTTTGTAAAACACGCTCTAAATTAGAAAAGGGATTCATTCAGATGCTGAGCAGTTGCAAAGAGTGCCAAATGCCAGCTTTAACCTGGAATGTCCACCCCCATGCTACGAGTCCTACATGGCTCAATTCCAGTGCCACCTCCTCTTAGAAGGTTTCTCTGATTTCTCCAAGCAGGTTTCAGAGCATCTCATAAAAGAAACACATGTCTGTCTGCCTGCCTACCTGCCTGGTATCTGAGATATTTCTGTGCCTGCTTCATCCCCCCACCTCTGTCCCCATCATTATAAGCTCTCCAAGGGCAGGAGCTGTGTTTATCCATCTCTGTGTCCCCATATAGTGCCTGGTAGGAGCCCTAGATATTTGGTGGTGAATGAATGAATGAAAGTGTTGGTCTCATTTGACAGGCCTTTGTACCAGAGGACCATGAAGGACTTGCACAGACTCTGCCTTACATAAGGGAGCCCTTTTTTCCTGGTGTGCACTTCTATAAATGGACTATGTCAGCATATTTGAAGAAAGGGGCATAGAAAATCAGAAAGCCCCATTGCAGAGGATAGTGGCGGATTGTAAGGGTACAAAGGAGAGACTGAGGGAGCTAGGGTGACATATTTTGGAGGAGTAAATGAACTGGAGCAGGCATCAGAGAGGCAGGAGACGATGGAAAATTGGAGGACTTGAAAGGCCAGATTCCCCCCACCGCCACCCCTTTGGGTTTACAAATTAGTAAATTGAGACAGGAGAAGCATACCTTACAAACCTCAGAGCTGAAACAGATCCAGATGAGCTCGTGCAGATGTACCTTTAACAACATCTTTGATAGGTGGGCTTTTCCAAGGTCACTGAGGACAGTGTGATTTAGTGGAAACAGCCAAGGCTTTGGAGCCTGGGGTTCAGATGTCAGTTCTTGTGCTCATTAGCTGTGTGACCTTGCAAAGTCCCTTTACCTCCCTGACCTCCCGATCTCAGTTTCCTCATCTGGAAACTGGGAATCATAATACCCATCTCATTGGATTCGGTTTATATATAAAAGCTCACATATGTACATGTCTGGCACTTGGAGAATGCTTAATAATAAACAGTATAATCAGGTCCAAGGTCACAAAACAGTTTTAAATTTTCTTCTTTTCAGTCCTCTCCCTTTATCCAAAGTCATACAAAAAGTATATAAAATGTGATGGGAGAGGGGGAAAGAAAAGGCAATTCCTATGAAGGGTTAAAGACAGAAATGATAAAAGGGGCAGAAGAGGGAAGAGCTAAGACGAGAGAAGTTAATGCAAGGAGGAGACCACACAAAGGTGCTGATGGGCAAGATGTACGGGGAGATGGGAGATGGCTCACAAATGATAGGTAGGGAGCATTTATAAGATTAAAGTCAAGACAGGGAAGAATGAAATGAGTGGAGAGATGAAAGAGAGAACAGAGGGAGGAAAGATAGAGAAAAGGAGGGGAGTGGAGAAGGGGGGCTGCTCAAGTACTACATCCTTGCGCAGGTGATGGCTCCCTGCAGGATCCTAGGTACCTGGATCAGAAAGAACCAGCCAAGGGCCAAAATGCTGCCCTGTGTCCGAGGAGCTAGGTTTATAACTCAACTTGAATCTAGGAGAAAAGGAACCCCGGGGTGAAGAATTGGTGAACAGACCCCTCTTCTGGGAATGGGGCAAAGGATGTAGGAGCCCGTGTGAGCCAGAAGCAGACCAAGTAGTAGGTCTCTACCTCGCACCCTTTTCAGGAATTTCACACACACAGCAGCCAAGCAGAGCTGCTCTGGGCTAGAGTAAGGATCCAAAATAAAAGCGCTGGCTTGCAGGGCAGCAGCCTGGAGGCCAGAGCATCCTGCTGGAGTCTGTGTAGGAGGGTGTGGGCTAGAAGGTGGAATTCCAGACTTCTTTGTCCATTAGCAGTTAGTGCAATCTCCGAGGTCTGAGTGGGTAGGAGAGGTGGGGTCCGGGGAGAGGGGGATGAGTGCGTGAGTTGTGGGCAAGTGGGTGGGGAGGGGGCTCTCAGGCCTCAAGGAATTATTTTAAGGATTAGAAAAGGGTACAGGACTTTTTATGGGGCTTGAGGGGAGACAAAGTTAAGTCTTGGCCATCCAGAGGCGCCCCTGACCCCCCAGAAGGCGGGACCTGGAGCAAGGCTGGGCTAAGGCGCGCCCCTAGGTGCAGCCTCCGGGTTGAGCCAGGGGTGGGGTGAAGCTAGACGAGCTTGGTTGAGCCCCGGGGAAATTAGGGGAAGCGCCCGGGGTCACTAAGTCTTAGGAATTTGGAGAGGGGTGTTGTGGCTAAAGAATATCGTGAGGGCGGATTGGGGGAGTCCTGGGAAAGGAGA